TATTGGGATCAGGGAGCTAAGGATTTGTACAACTAGGCAAAAAGAGTTGCCAGCCCTGTAATGGTTTTTAATCGCAACCACAGTACTAGGACCACTTGCCTGAATTTCATACTCAGAGGGGGGGGGGAGAAGAGAAAGGAAAGAGGGGAGGAGAAGGAGGACGGAAAGAATTACTAATTCTTCACGGATGACTCCAAATCACAGGCTCACCCAGTCGAGGCTGATGGGGAATAAACATTACAGTGGGACTGTAGGGCCACAGGGGGATCAATGGAGGGGAGCGGGCCTGCTCTCCTGACCACGGCTCCCCTCTTCTTCTGCCTCCCACGCCCAAGGCGCGGCGCCCTCACCCGCTTGTTGCGGTCCGTCTCCCTCACGTCCTCCTCCTCGGGCCCTTGCCGGATGAGCGCCCGCACGACGGCGGCGTTGTTGGTACAGCAGGCGCGGAAGAGACTGAGCGGCTGCTGGCTGTCGGAGAGTTCCGACTCGCCCTCGTCGGCGGCCTCCTGGGGCGGGTAGAAGGAGTCGTCTGAAGCAATGCTCCGCGTGTCCGGGAGCTCCGAGAAATCTTCATACTCCTCATACTCCTCATACTCGTCTTCCTTGTTCTCCTCGCCTTCGCCCGCTCCGCGCGCCCGCTCTGCAGGAGTGGTTGGGTCAGGGCTAGAGGCACCGCTACCCCCGGGACTCCCTTCCCGCTCCGCCTCCTCGGGTCCTGGCCCTCCGGGCGACCCGGCTTGCAACTGCTTCTCTGCGGTGGGGCTCCGGCCCTCTCTGCCCTCTTTCCTGTCTCCGGACAGAAGCACCATCGTCGCTTCCCGCCCAGGGGAGCGCGAGGTGCTGGGCTCTCGCCTTCTTCTAAGATAAAGAGCGCTTATCTCCCGGAGCCAAAGGGCGCCCGGGGAACCCCGCGCCTCCCGCCCAGATACATAAATCTCTACGGACAAAAGTAGAGATCCGGCGGGAATGTCAGGGAGGAAAGAGGGAGGGCTGAGTGGTAGCATACAGTCATCCTCGCACCTTTGCTGGATGACCAGTAACCCTTCTTAGCAAAGTCACAAAAATCGCCGGGGGGGGGAAGCCCCTATACGGTAGAGCGTAAAGAAGACGGGGGGGGGGGGGGTAAGCAAGTGTTAAGCTCACAGCACAGTAACAGCTCCGACTTAGGAGAGGCAGGTCCTTCCGTGCACAGAATCCTTTCCTCCACACGGAATAGAAAACCCACCTCAAGGGAGAAAAGAAAGTGAACCGCTGCGTGTATCATCCCAGCACGATCATCTTCCGATGGGGACGACAAAAAGGGCTCTCGGTCCTGCCGCAATGATTTTCCGAAAACTTTTTCCCGCCCAACATTTGGCTGGAATCTTGAGGATACCCTGAAATTCTGAGCGAAGGGACCTGCTCCTCCCCCAAGTAGACCGCGGAAATGTCCTCACCCGTGCAAATGTCCTTTAAATGCAGGACCGCTGCCTTTCCTGACCCCGCAGTTAAGCATTTGTGAAAGTAAAAAGCGGGAACGGGGATTTCTTACATTTATTGGAACTGGAAGTCAAGCATGGAAGACCGAAAAGCTTCCCAGAATTCGAGAGACAAGCCGATTCTTGTCAGAGTCATCGGATAATGTTAGAGCATTACTTCTGCTGCATCTGTTTTCCAGTCCTATCTGCCTAATGCTTTCGGCAGTATTAATAGGATGTCACGAGATACTAGCCAAGAGCTTTTACAAAAGGGGAACTCCAGAGTCGGTTGTTTTTTGTTTTTTTTTTGCGAAGAGGTAAAAAACCCGCCCAAGCAAGTGATTTGGTGACAGACAGCGGCAGCAATTATTTGCTTGCTTGCTTTCCCTCACCCTCCCTCGCGTGAAATGGAGGATTGGCAGAAACGCAACAGATGCTCTTTCCAATAAAATAACACCAATACTCTTTCAGACTATCCTAATTCCAAGACTGCAGTGTCCTGCACAGAGTTTAGGCACCCTCGTCTGAAAATATATCTCCTCGCCTTTTTTAAACATTTCACTTCGCAGTCAGAAGAGTAAGTCAAGGGTTTTTCCCGCCAGAAAGAAATTGCAAATTGTTCGAGTTTCTTCTACAACACTGGCCTGCGAAACTGGAAGCAAAACGCTGCCGGAACAATCCTCAAAGAATGTTACTTGCAGTTGCAGCTTTATTGAAGCGATCGGAGAAACGGAGAACAATTGTTCCATATCGCCGCTTGTCATCAGACAATTCTGCATTGCTTTGCAACACCCCGCCCCCCTTACCCATTCAAGGTCGATAAAAGGGGTCAAAAAGGAGCAGCGATAACCAATATAGCCAGCGATCGATCCTATTCCACAACAAATAAAGGCTGCAGAAGTAAGCAGAGACTGACACATTCAGAAAATTCCTGCAATCATGACTCCTAATCGGATCAGCAGAAGATGAAAGCTCGAGTTTAGCATGTTGACATCAGGCACATCTTTGCAAACCGATTTACATGCAGCTATAATCCAGGTCAGTATGCACACTGTATGCCCACGACAAAAAAATTGTTACTGACAGGCGAGCCATAAGAGTTCTGAGTAGCTTCAACTCCCGGGCTTTTCCTTCCATTCTTCGCACTGCAGTAATTTGCTGACGAGTGTGGCTCAACCAGAGTTTTACACCCCTCACCTACCTCACATTCAGAGCAGCGAGTATGATAAAAGCAAGCAGTGAAAGATTTTAAATGGAGTTAATAGGGTTCCTTAAAATAACTTCTAAAGGAACCCGTGGGGAGAATGGCTAAACTGCGATGAAATACCCATTTACAAATACAACTTTAATTTTTAAAATAGGTGACTAAGACGTCCAAAAAATGGAAGATTTGCCTGCTGATAATAATCATTCTGCCCAGAAAGTGAAATGTATTCACATTTGAAGTAATAAAGACCTTTAAATCATGGCTTTAATTACGGAAAGAATTGTTAATCAGTCCTTTATTAAGTCTGATAAAGAGGCTAGTATAGACTCCATGTGCCTTGTAGCATTTTTTAAATTAAAACAACAGAGGAGCCGCAAGCGTGTGGAACTTTTCTGAAAGACAACGGTGGAATTAAAAACCTCAGAGCAATGAATGGCTTTGTTTGTTGCAAGATAGCAGTTTCAAGCACAGCTATTTAATAGGATTATAGTTTTAGGTTCCAGTAATCTGTTCTACTCATCCTGCATTTGAATGATCTATCTTTAGTACAGTGTCTGTCAGTAATCCAGTGTGTAGTTTTTCTTGCATACTGGCACAGATGCTTGTTTTCTCTATTGCTCCTCAGGAATGATGGAAAACAATACCGACTAGTGCACCCAAAGCAATGTATCGATGGCTAATATTCAAGAAGTTAATGAACTTGGATCAGGGAAGAATTGACATTTAGTAAGTATCCTTCTGAGAATATTTGATGGGATATCATCACAACTGATTTCAAAGACTCAAAAAGACAATGTGGGAAAAATCAGTGCTTGGGTTAAAATGTTCGATGTCAAACCCACAATTCCCAAACTCTTGTCTACTAAGGGGTCAGTAGCAGTCTTCCCAGATTCACCAGGCTGGGCCTGCTTGCTGTTAAGCCTGCTGCCCCTTCCTGTTCACCATCGTTCGGCTGGCCAGGCCAAAGCCTCTTGCCAGCTCAACCCCTGCCCCACCCCCCCATGTTCCCGGCCAGTTAGCCAGCCAGAGTCTGCTCACTATCGGAATCGCGACTCTCTCTGTTTACCAACACTTAGCTGGTTCATGGGAATCTGGAGGTCTGAATGGCGGGTGTTCTCTGTAGAGACTCTCCAGCTTTGGAACAGCCTGACACGTAAGGAGAGGGTGGCTCCCATTCTCATGGACGGCTTGTGAAAAAACTGGCTTGTCCAGGGGGCCTTTGCAGAATTGATTCTGCATGGAACCATCAGTGCAAGAATGCTTTTACATAAATTGTATTATTACTTGCAGCACTGCTGTTTTTATTTTATAACTGGATTCTGTAAATTGCCCGAGGTGGAAAATTAATCCCATAGGTAGGTAGGTAGGTAGGTAGGTAGGTAGGTAGGTAGGTAGATAGATAGATAGATAGATAGATAGATAGATAGATAGATAGATAGATAGATAGATAGATAGATAGATAGATAGAATCAATGGCTGAAAGATGGTTCATTGAAGTGTACATGTGATAATACAAATAGCCATGTGAATATTAACATTCAGAAAACTGACAACAGTGACCAAGTCTTAAATGCATTGACTGACTCTAAATGCACATTTGCTGTGCTAAGTGGGATTACGATCTCACATAAGCAACCTCAAAGAAAGGTGTGAATAGGATATATTCTGTGATATCTTTGTGGGAAAACATTCTGGACCAGCAAGTTTGTTCTAAAAATTGGCACAGGGTACATAAAATAATACTTAATTTCGGATTTAAAAAATTGGTACTGATTTTAACGAAAAGGCTGTTAAATGTGGAAGGTATGGGAAATTATACGTAAATGCAGGTATAATAATTATCTTGCCAAACATGAATTCAGATGCTGTCAAAACTGAAAATGTAGGGGTGTGTATGTGTGTGTGTGTGTGTGTTGGATGATAACTACATTTTCCAAAAGTTTATTTCATGGCCCATGATTGCAGAAAGTTTGGGAAACACTATATTAATGTATACGTGACTGGATTTCCTATAAAAAGCAGCTAATAAAAACTAATAAAGCAGTGACTTTGGACTAACGATCTGCAATCCTGCAGATTTTTGTGCCCTTTTATTTGATCTTAATAAAAGTAATGGGAGCCAGTTTAATGTAGTGGTGACAGCACCAGACTAGAATCTGGGAGACTATGAGTTCTAGTCCTGTCTTAGGCACAAAGTCAACTGAGTGACTTTGGGCCAGTTACTCCGTCTCAGCCCTAGGAAGAAGGCAAGCATCTGAAAATACTTCCAAAAAAATTGCCTGGACTTGTCCAGGCAGTCACAAGGAGTCAAGAGTGATTTGAAGGCACACAAAAAAAGAATACTATCTAGCTACAGAATTTTGATAAATAAAGAAAAAATACAAGCAAGTGATTTATTAAGTAGGACAAATCATGTCCACCAACTGAATGGGAGAGTTGTTCAATCCGTATAATACTGTAAATGCCTTCAAGGGAGACACATACAGAAAACAATTAAATGAATTACCTACACCTACTATAATGAATTTCCTATAATCAAATATCATATTTAATGACATATTTCAAAATCTGTTTGGTGAAAACAATTAAAAATAAATTTCAATAAATCTTGTGATCTTGACATTAATGACATCAGCCAAGCTTTCTGTTAGCAAACAACTATTCAAATAATTCCTGCGACATCCAAAGCAGTTCATTCTAGCTAATCCTGATTGTATGTGAACAGGGCTGTAAAACTGTTTTTTCCTTTTTTTTGTTTTGTTTCATTATTTATACAGGCTATACAGGTAGCATGTTCTAGTTACTATATATTATTTTAAAATTAAAGAGTATGCTGTTAGATTTGTAATCCAAATTTATTTTCATGGGGTGAAACCCAAATGTTCTTTAACCAACAGAATTATTTCTATCAACATGACAATTCCATGTTTACCTTTCCTAGTTATTTACATTTTTTCCTAATCTAAAAGGCCCCAAATATTCCAATCTTTAACGTTTTAAAGCAAAAACGGTCATTTTCAGTCTGCTACATGTATTGACTAAATGGGATTTAGTCCCTTGTATAAAACATTTAAGAATATTCAGGTGAAAGATCACTGTCACAGTGCAATTATTAATTTATTTACTCAGAAGTAATTCCCACTGA